GCGTGTATGTGACCTAAATGTAATTATCAAGTTGTCCGATCTTTATCAAGGATTAACATGAAAAGGTCGAGTCATATATGTATGTTATTGGTACCTAGCACCGTAAAAATCAATTTCTCTATTCAAGACGTATAACTCATGTTTTACTATGTATATCTAAGTATATATCAGTTTACTAAATAATTTGTTTTTATGTGTTATGTTATTTTTTTTTCTATGAAATGTCCTACCTGAAATTCTAAACCATGTTTCTCTCTGCAATAGTCTTTAAGTTTGGGATAGCACTGCGCCATCAAAGTATTTCTTTCCATTGTTGTATCTAAAATATAATAAAATATATATAGTCAATAAATATATATTTCATATTGCATTAAGTCATTTTATTTTATATTGTTTTTCTGTTTTCTTTCAAACTTTTTAACATTAAATTTTCTATTTTACTTATTTTATTATCTCTTGTGACTATTAATAGCTTACCAGTAAAGGTCGAGCTTGTAAATATCCGCACAATTTTCGAACTGACAGGCGGTAAGGATTTCAAGGACCCCGAAAAAATTGAATCAATCGTTGTTTCATCCATGTTCTTAATGTACCTTGATCTTTAAATTAAAAATTTAAATCAATTGAGATTGCATCTTATCGCTTGTAGCAATATCAGCAAACTGAAACCTGCATTGCGTTTCCAGTGTCTTATACATCTATCAATAAAAGTATAGTATCTCGTGAGCTACATGGAGTTTGTAGGACATCTTTGTTCGGGAGTATGTTTTATATCACATAGAATTCTTATATCGTCTATAACGCGTTTGTCTTTTGCAGTTTTTCTTTAAGGTTGATAGTATTTGAGTAAAAAATTATTATAGACCAATTTTCGGCAATTTTTAGCAATTAATATCTTGTTAACTATTGCGAAAAGTGCAAAATGATAGAGGACTTTTTGTCTGTTTAGTCCGCTCTACATGTTCATGAACTCCATCAGAACAATTTTCGGATATCCTGCTATACCTTCCTCTATTGTACTAATATATACATGAAAACTATGAATTTTTACATTTCAGATATCAGGATTTATGCATATTATAAAATTCCTGCTAGATATAATGTTCCCAGATGTACCAACTCAAAAAAAAAGGATATTGTTGCACAACATTTGCTCAAGATTCTAAATTGAGACAAAAATAGAATGATGCTGCGGAATTTCTGATTGAAAACCTTTAAGATTAGTTGTACTATATGAGGTCAGGACTGAAGCGTGCATACAAATGTTTTATAATATAACTCCCACCATATAATAAACACCAACAAAAATAACATCAAAATTATAATTTCTCACTCAATATCAGTAAAATCATTAAATCATCATCATTAAATTTAATATAATGCGAGTGTATGTAACGGTTATGTAATTGCGTGAAAAATTATGACACATTGATGACTTTAATGATAGTTAGTAGGACAGATATTTTTCTCTAATGTGTACCTAATTTCTGATGAATGGAATTCTGATAAATAGAAATGAATCTAAAAGATAAGAGATAACATATTAGAGAAAAATATCTGTCCTATCAATTATCATTACACAACATAACATCAATGTGTTATAATAAACTAAGCCTATCAAAGTGCATCCATTTAACCTTCTTAGCAGCCGTAGAATCACTCTCGGTTTGTGAGTTTTACAAAGTCTTCTGAATATTGAATAATGTCTTCCATTTTTTATCTCTATTACTTACAGTCATTTCTCCTAAGGATAAAAAAAACGTGATAAATATATTTGTAACAGACATAGCTCCTTAATTAAAAAATTTTGTACCTTTTATGCTGTTAGCAATTTCTTTCCACAGTTTCTCCTTAGTACGGGCATCTCTTTTGGAAATGTGCAATTTAAAATTCCAAAAAGGTGGTCATTTCCTCTATGAGAAATTTTTTATTGCGATCTTTCCTCACTTGCAAGTTTATCGGACAATCACTATTGTCCAAACTGCCCTCTATATTTCTTTCTATTATCTCAGCTTCTTCCTGGTCAGTTTGTTCCTCAACTTCCTGTACGATCTCTTCTTGTCCTCCAACAAAACTTTCTAATAATCAATCCATTATCTACAAAAATATAAAGATATGAACATATTGTCTAGCATTTAACCTCTACAGTAATTTCACACACTATATTTATCGCATTGCAGATATAAATAAAAATTTTTATCTACGTAGTATCTCTGGAATCCTAAGCAGGAATAATTGCATACCTCATGTGGGTATACCACAAATTGTTTTACATATACTGTCGCAATTTCATTTGACTGAAATTCAAAATCATATCCTCAAATAGATTAGATATATGTTAATTATAAAACCAAACATTTTTTCAAAGATTAGTTCAAACCTCTATGGTAAGCAATATAGCAAAATAATGAAATATATATATACTTGAACAAACAATGACAGATGAGGAAATTCAACAAATGAGAAGGTTAACAGATATTGCAAAGTACCAAGGAAGACTTAAGAAATATTTAATTTAGATCTGAGTAAATATGGAATCTCAAATTTCGGCATGCTTTAGTTTAGTATTTTGGAAAAATAATAGATCAAATGTTTAACTTTAAACAGTCCTTTAGTACAAATAATTATTAGTTTTTACAAAAAAAGGGTTAAACATTTAAATGTAAATACACGGTAAACATATGCAAATATGTTCAACGTGTATTTACATTTAAATGTTTAACCCTTTCTTTATAAAAACTAATAATTATTTATTAGTTACCAATAACAATAACTTACCAATTATTAATATTTTTAATGTAATTCTAACACCGAGATTGGCGAAACTTATATTGCTTCTTGAAATAAATTATCAAATCTCACTTAAAAATAGTTACTAAAATCAGATGTGTCGACTTGTCGCAGCTATGATTCAAATTTCAGTGATGCATGTGGGATCCGAGAAGAAGGTTCGACGTGCTGCGTTTGGCAAAATTCGGCATCGAGTACGAGCGAGATAGAGATGGCGCACTCGATGGCCGAAAGTTGCGAACGCGAAAAGGACTTGCCACAGTATATACAGCAGCGCAACTCTCCCGATTTTATGTTGGCTTTTTCACTTTATCACTTTTTCACAAAAATTAGACCAATCTCTCGAGATTTCTCACACAACATTTCACCAAATGGATAATACACGTAATACTTTCCTCTAAATTTCTACTCTGAATCATGTATGCTTGAAAGACAAATGTTTTAACATTGAAACGCTTATTTAAATAGAGAGAGAAAGAGAGAGAACATAAAAAAAGGGAGGAAATGAGACGGGGCAACTTACTTATTTCACGCATGCGCATTCCATTTTGGTCACGTTTACATCAAAGGTGCCGACAAGGAGTTGCGCTACTGTATGTACTATGTCGTAACCTCCAGTAAATCACTTTTGAGCTTGCTGTTCACATGTGCGTCCCATATTCCGAATAACGTTCTATTTGAGAACTCGCACTGTACTGTCTGTACCGCGTGCACCGTGACGACATTTTGAATTGTACCATGTGTACTAGGTACAAAAAGTTCCTGCACGGTACTTTCAAAAAGAATATATGGTACCTTATTGTTCGCCCGCGCGAGAACCGATGAGCAAGCTGGTCATTGTACAGCGTGAGTTACCATATAAATACGTCATAAGGAGATTAAAATATATTTCTGCACAAGCTGCCGCATTTATTTTACGCTAAAAGCCTTGTAGCCACATCGTACGTTGTCACATCGGGCTATAAGGCAAGAGACACATCTCTGACAAAAAGAAAATAGTGCTCCACATACCGCAAGATGGCAGCTTTCCATTATTATAAGGATTGGGTTAGATTAGGTTAGAATTAAATTAGGGTAGAGGCTCCCCCCTTCCGATTTAATCCTAACGTAACTCAAGCCTTATCTGATTGTAAGATGGATCTCGGTTCTCGTGAAAAATTACACACTTCTTGGCAGGGGGGAGGTAGGGTGGAAGTCGCTTCGCTTAGGAAGTTCCCGATAAAAGAAGTTTTTCTTTTGTAAAATTACTTTTTAATGTAATAAAAATAATAATAGTGATGAGAAAACATAAAAAATAATTAAAGGAATAATTTTCGCATTGTTTGTTTTAGAAAAAAATAAGTTTGGAAAAATGTAAAATATCTGCTCATATATAATTATGCATAATTTTAAGTATAATACATTATTTATGTATTATACATAAATAATTTTGTTACATTTTTTTAAACTTGATTTTTTAAAAATCAAATAGTGCGAAAATTACCTTTTTAATTATTTTTAATGTTTTCACGTTATTTTCTATTACACTAAAAAGTAATTTTACAAAAGAAAAAGGAATATATTATTTGAACATGTATGGACATATTTCATGTATAATTATACATGTTTATGAATATTTATGCATGTTTATGTATGTTTATACATATTTATTCATGTATGAAAAATTTTTTACCGGTTCGTACACTTCGAGACAAGGAGGAAGGTGAGGATACTGTTATTTCTGATTATAATTTAAAATATACAGTTAAATACACATCAATATTATCAACTTTATTTGTTAATAATTTTTGAACATACGAATAGTCAATGCGGGCTAAAGCCTTCTGAAGATTACTCAGGGCAATGGATTACTTTGATGATATATAATCTTGACAATATATGTAAAGATCGAAGTCAATGGAAGTGTCTACTGTTTTCAATATTTACCTAAAATTTTTTTAATTATTTAAGGAAGCAATAATAAAATTTGAGAATTTTAAATCTGCAAATAATGAGCAAATTAAAAATCATGGAATTCGACTTTATATCTAATAAGATATCGCAAAAATAAACAAAAAGATAAATACTTTTCTTTTAAAAGTGAATATTTTAAGATTGAGGTTTTTTTATATTAAATGTGTTCTAAACATAATTTTATATAAAAAATATTTTGTTTTATTTTGTTTTTTTTTATTTATTTATTATTATTATTATTATTATTTTATTATTATCTTTTCTTAATTATAATACTTTTCCTATTTCATTTTTCAGTGTTTTCAGTGCTTCGTTTAGATTTCAGTCAGAAGAAAGTTAGGAAAAACTTTTTCTTTATGTCACTAATAATTTCACCGTATTTTACTATGTTATAATGTCATAAGAAATGTCCGCCTTCAGCAAGATTGCGCTGTTAGGCCGTAGCAATGTTGCAGCGTAATATATTTGCAACTATTATTAAAAATAATTTTTTTATTATTACTGAATGTAATTTGAAATACAATTTGTGTGATATAAATAAAAAAATGCAGAAAAAAACTGATCAATATATATTTTATGTCATATAATTATTATATTTTATACTTAATTGCAAATTTTATATGCAGGTATATATTTTAAAATTTTATATATGTAAATACATATTTTACATTTTTTTGCAAATATATATTTTACACTTTATGTACTATTTTGTACATATTCTTAAATAATGAAATGGAAGTAATAAAAAAAACTCCGCGCGTTCTATTTCATTTTCTTTGCCATATTGAAAGAATTTTTTAAATATATTTCAAAAAATCATAAGAGTTAATTACAAAATGAATTTGAAATCTTGTCACGCGGCGATAATAAATGATACAACGAACACTATATGCCTAATAGCTCTTGTTCACTGGGCGTGGATAAAATGCGACGTAATAATCTCAATAAGCTTACAACTCTCAACATGTTATTGATTACCGCCGATCACGTCGCATTTTGCCGCGCGTAAATAAATGAAATGATTAACAATCATTAATATAATGTGTAATTGACGTATATTTTCATATACGACAGCAGTTCATTACTCAAAAAGCCAAAATGTGTTTTAATGTAACAATCTAACAATGCTGCAAGATTTGTAAAATTTTGCGCCACATAATATGTCTAATATATTACAATTCCTAATACCTACGATAGTGCAGCTGCAATATTACAACATTTCTGCAAGTTTCTGTGTTGTATGGGTTATTTATTAACTGAAAATTTGAAAAATTTGAAACGATTTGCATTCAATTGCCGTAATCATCCATACAACGTTACACATCCGACTAGCACTTTTGAGCTA